TAGTAGCAGCAGCAGCAGTAGTAGAGCAGCAGCAACACCAGTAGGAGCAGCAGTGGCAGTAGCAGTAGTGGCTCTTTACCCACCTTGGCAGGGAGCCACGGTAGACCGTGGATGCCGCCCCCTGTGCAAGCAAGCTTGATTACAGCAGCCGCGCCAGGCGAGAGGGACAAGCGAGAAGCAGAAGCAAGAAACTGAATCGGCCTTGCCAAGGATGTTTCCGGCATTCCAGTTGAGACCTCGGTCAGGAAGGGCTACCAGTACCGATACCCTCTGCCATGATTTGCTTTCAGGCCCCCACAGGCATCCCGCAGCGTCTGATAGTTCATTACCTCACCACGGCTGGCATCATCCGTCGCCACCACGATCCTGGCACTCTCTGACAAACATAGGGTTTGGGTTCAGCATTGCCGGAGTCCAGCTTCAGCATGCATCCCAATCGTGCAAGGTCTAGCCAATGCATCCACTCTGTTCCCAGGAAATCCTGTATACTTCATCCTTCCTTATCCTCATATATCGCGAAGAACAGAACCAACGCCAAGTTGCATGGGCGCTGCGGCATGCTGTGTTCCGGGTGGCGCAGCGCCTCCGTCTCTGCAAGGTTTCTGAAATTGTGCAGTGCATGCTTCCATCCGTGCACAAGCTAATTACTTGTTTGGCTAGGCCAGGCTTCCATCCCACTATGGTCTGTGATGCAACGAAGGCCGGTGCACCTATGACGGTGCCCTGCGCAGTAGGCTTGACCTGGATAGCACCTGCAGTTGTGCCAGGGGGGTAACCTTCGGGACCACGGCAGAACGCGAGGTCTGTTCTCGAATTGCAGCACAGCCCTACAACCTGCGCTCTTCGGCCTCCTTCCAGGTCCTTGGTTTGCACCGCATGGGTCTTCTGGGGCGCGCAGCCGAAGATGTCCCCGAGGCAGTTGAACAAGGCCTTCCGGAAGTACCAGGCGACCTCGGAAGGTGCACAGGCCAAGAACCCAAGGGTGGCACCTAGGGTCCAATTGTTCGTGTTCGCCAAGGCGCGATGAGGCCCAGGAAGGCGAGACCGGCTACAGTTGCGCCAACGGCTAAGCGAACCGCCATCGAGACGGTGGCTGCAACGAGGACTAAGCGGGCGAGAGGACGGATCCACTCAGGCAGGCTTGCTGAGAGAGGGTGGGTGTGTGTGTGTGTGTCTCAAGGGGCGGGCTGTCACTGCTAGGTGCGCGATCTGAGGCAACCAGCTATCTAAACTGCCGAAATACTCAAATTGAGGTTGTGTATGTGCTCCGTAGGAAGGAGCTCAAGAGTGGCATGTGTGACCCTGCTGGCATGGTGAAGCTATTTGGTCTGAAACCAGAACGGCCACCGGAGCATAGCTACGGCATTGACTGTTCGGAAGCAGGAGAAAAAGTGCATTGCAAACACTCCACTCCAGTCGATGTACTTCCTGGATGCCCCCACCAGCGCCTGAAGCTCTTCGATCTTTTGCCTTGCGGCATCACCTGCTACGTCGAACGTGCACGCCGACGATTTCGAGCTCCCAGCAAGGGCAGCACCAGGTGGTGAGGGGCTGCGCCGCTGAAGTTCCAGGTTGTCACCTCAATCAGTCGAGCCACAAACAAGCATGGGTGCGGAATGAAAAAAGCTGTTGAATCGGGTGGGCCTACAGTCGGTTGCCTTAAACTTTGGAGCATGCTCAATCAGCAGCCAGCCTATCTGTAGGAAGGATGTAACAGGTTTGGGTATGGTGGGGTGCTCGATGACACACCATTTCACATACCTAGTCAGCAGATGTTAGCAGTCTGTCATGCACCGGTCGTTCACGACTGCGAATCTCCAACTCCTTCAATGCCATCTACGACTGCACACAACAACAAAAGTTGACAAGACAGGCTGCTTGCTGAGAAGACTGTCGACAAAACAGGCGTTGTCTGCGGTCTTACGTGTGTATGTGGGAACAGTCTCCACATTGGCATAGTAGCGTGCCACCAACAACATGGTGCCGGATGGAGACATAGTCTATCTATCTCGTACGGTGGGTGCAACGAATCTACCCGGCCTGGAGCATCTGGAGGCGGGGAGGGGCTTCGCCGCTGAAGCTGCAGGTTCTCGCCTTTGTTGTCTTTGCAGAAGGCTGTGGGCAGATGGCGTGCTTGTTGAAGTCAGCGGGCGCTACAACAGCTTCATATCATGCATGGAACACAAAAATCAGCTTTCGCGGAGCGGCTTTGAACTTTGCTGGGCATGTTTGTTCACCATTTTGCTCGCACATCGGCGCCAAGACAGTGGGGTGATGATTCCGTGAACTTGTCTTGGAACGCAGAACCATGAACCCTGCTCTCTGCATTGACAAGGTTTTGCCTTCCATTGATGCAAAGATTCCTAAACACTTCGTAGAAGTTAGCAGTGTTTTCGCTGATGTCCTTGCAAACATTATCGGGACAGATCGGACCTCATAGACCATGCCAAGCTCTTTTCGGAGATCTCGCCATGATGTGGGGTGGCCCTTTCACACAATCATTCTGTGGGCACATGGTCTTGCCTCCGGACTTCCCCTGGTGGTTGTCCAGTCCATTCCATGCATCGCATGTGCTTGGAAATGTGCATGCCCTTGTGGACACGCCCCGCCAGATTGTCGGGCTCCCGCATGCATCCTAACAACAGCGCCCAAACTACCCAGACCGGCTTACGGACAAGGAAGGTGGGCTGGGCACAGCACCTGCCTGCCTCGGCTTTGTTGGATTTTTCGGACAAGATGTATGCCACGAACCTGCCGTTCCCATGAGAAGAAATTGAACGGGTATGGCCTGTTTCATTATGCCTTCTTTCGGGTGCCTCAGCTTCAGCAACCGTTCTCTCTGATTCGGAAGCTAAAGCCTCAAGGCAACAGTACCAGGCGCGCCTGGGTTTGCAGTCGCGATGCAAACTGCACAGGTGCACGGTTGTGTTATGCGAGTGGTGTCTGTATGCTGAGTTGTCGATCAAATCTGCACAAAAGTTTGGGTCCTCACGCGCACTTTCCGCGGCTCAGATTCCCCAAACATCTGCCCAAGCTCGTGATGCCGAGGCCGGCTCGAAGAAGCTCCTGGACCCTCGCCTGGCACAAGAGAGTCGCCTTTAGGGTCTTTGAAAAGGCCTAGGGTTTGAGTGGGTTCGAGGCTTGGGATTCGATGGCCTCCAGCTCTTCGTTCTGGCGTTTGGCCGCACCCAGCGCACGGTCCAGTGCACCGAAGTCATCTGCGAAGCACTCCGTGCCAGAGCTGCTCATGCGCAGATGATCAGCCTGGCCCTGGCCTGGAACGGATGGTGTGGCTTGGATCTGCCTCCGAAGCTCGTTGTTTTCACCTGAGTGGAAACGAACCTGGTGTAATCAGTCTCGATAAGCCGATAATCCGATACGGCGATCGCCCTCTAGGGCTGGCGCGTTGGAGTTCTTGCACGCGGCCCTGCACTATGCACCAGTGACTTTTTGGGGGGCTGCGAGTGAGAATCATCTGAGGTTGAGAAGAGACATTCCTCGACTCGTCTTCCGCTTGCTCTACTGCACCTTGATTAGCCTTGATTCAGAGGCATTGAGGCTGCCTGGAGCTGCTCGTTCTCTTCTTTGGCCGCGGCCAGAGCACCGGCCGTCTCAGCAGCGCCTTGTCGGCTGCGCTTGGGCGATAGGCTTAAGCTCGGGCTTCAGGCCTGGAGGTGGCGGCGGGTACCGCTGCAGCTCAAGGTTCTCACCTCGCCCACTGGAATGCCGTGCCATGAATTGCGTCCCTCTCATTGCTTGGATATCCATCACGGGCTACTGCCTGACTCGAAACACTGCATGGATAGAAGAACCGCAAGTGACACTAAGTGAGCCATGCAGATATAAATATGGGTTCTACCACCCACGAATGTACGCCGAGCGTTGCACGAAGAAGTTCTTGCACACGCACCTGTGAATCACATCTTGTTGCTCCACACCAAGCGGAAACGGATGCTTTGTACAGTGGAGAGGCTCGTTGCACTCTGGCTTTCATTGGGCAATCTCGACATGATGATGCGCACCTGCAACTCCTCGTTCTGTCGTCTCACTGCAGCCCCTGCAGCACCTTGCATCTGCAGACCCTGTGATTGTGCTTCACTTCATCACTCCCTCATTTTCACAAGGCATCGGCTGGCAATGTCCGACGAGCGTCCCTGGAGCTCCAGATTTTCACCTGGTCACGGGTTGGCGAGAGGGCGGTCCACCTGGAAGTCTCCAAAAACACGCCAAGAACTGCACGAAGGAGTTCTTGCACTCGCCCCTGGCAGAGAAGCTCTGGGGCCGATTTGGGGCGAAAGAGTCTGCGCCGGCCTGCAGCTCCGCGTTCTGACGGCTGGCACCAGCCACTGCCTCACCTTGCTTTCTCCTATCTCCGGCAGTCCGGCATCGTCTTTGGCATTTTGTTCATCTTGGTGTTGCGGAAAGTGTTGTTGAGGTTCGCACCTGCAGGAGCTGGAGACTGACTGCGTCCTTGAAGCTCCATCTCACCTTGCGGCATGCAGAAGTGCTGGTTGTACACAGCTACGTCTGTTGCATGCATTAGAGAGGCCGATGCTTCCAACGCAGAGGGGACCCGCTGTGGCTTCGGAAGAGTACTGAAGCTGAACATGTCATGCAGACACTAAGGAGGCCGCTTGCGAGCTCTTGCACACGTGCCTGCACTGGGCATGAAATTTGAGATGCGGAGCTTGTGACAACGCGGTTGACGCGCTCCACCCGTTCTATTCACTATTCACCCGAAGGTGCTAGAGCTGCTTGTTAATTGCCACAGGGATGCTCCCAACAAATTGGAGACGGTCCAGAAGAACAGCAGACCACACGAGCTAGCGCTTGCAGAGTCCCCGCGACTGTCTGGCCACAATGGCTCTGAGTTTCCTTGATCCCGTGGTTGTTGCAGTTGCCCATGGGCATCTGCTTCTGGTGCCGCAAGAGCTATGACACAACGAGCTAATTTCACAGTTGAACAGCAGAGCTCTCGGCAAATAGCATCACTCTCGCCTGAAGCTCTTCGATTTGGCGCCTGGCTGCTGCCAGAGCGGCTGCGTCACCTCAGCTGCAGCCCTCGGATGCCCTGGGCCTTCCCGCATGTCTGGTGTTTTTTACTTTCTCACAGCCTTAAATGCACTCGATGATCATGATGCACCCCTTAGAAAGCCTTAGCAGCTGCAAGCCTGTCAACGTCTTCAGTGAACTTGCTCAAAGCCCTGCGGCTGCTGGCTTTCAACTCACTGTGTCAGCCAATCCGGCGCTGAGCGTGCAGAGAGCCAAGGTTCAGGAGGTGGCTAATTCCTTCATTCCCGGACTCTGCGGATAGAGTATGGGCAGGTGTGAGGAGCCTGGAGCCTTGCTGGAAACCGCAAGTATATTATGCGAGAATTATTGCATTCGGCACATTGTGCGTGTGCAGAATTAGAAGCTTCAGCACAGCAGGGCCTTCGTTGCACAACCGGGTCACCCGGAGCGGGAGATTGGCTGCGCCTCTGAAGTTCCAAGTTCTCACCTGGGACATCGAATGTGCCAAACACAGGTCATCTATGCATTCTGCATTCCGCACGGCTGACTGAGGCTGGCGTTTCTCCAGGAGGCTGCTGATGCCGTTCGTGATGGCGCTGACGAAGTTAGTTTTGGGTAGTGAAAGCATGTATGACAACAGTCACCAGCATAGCCCGTCCAACCATTTTGCACGGTTGTCGATACGGGTCAGCTGGAAGCGGCGATATGAATAGTGCACATGAGCGCTTCTGTGTGTTTTGTTGCCGGGGAATTTCTGCTGTTGATCTTCGCCGTGATGGCACATCGGAATGCTGGGGAATGTGGGAAAGGCTTTCTGCAAGGACCCAAACAATAAGTGCCGGTGGCAGAATTACGAGCTCGAAAGGAGGGGTCCATGAAAACTTGTTCCTCAAGGTACCGGTGTCCTGCCCGCCACTCCCTTCTGGGCCACGACCGCCGGCTTGACAAGGGTTGTTGGGCCGTGTGTGGCACTGTTTCTGTTGGCAGTTTTGTCATCCTCAAGGTTGGTTCCCGCAGGTGTGGCACCCGGCTAGCCTCTGCATTGATAGAATTGAGACTTGACGGGCTGCAGGTAAACTTGGTGGAAATCCTCTGTGGACAGAGGCTTCTTTCTCTGTGCATTGTGCTCATCATTTTCGCTTTCATGGGGTGTTCAACGGCTGGCGGTTCGACTCAACATTTACGCAAGGGTGGCGAGCTGGATGTTTCACAAGTCATCAACTCCGCGGTGCTACCCTTCAAGACAAGCAGGATGACAATAAGAAAACAGTACGAACACCACTGAAACTAGTGACGTCGGGCCTTTTCCTGGTCACGGCTCTGAAAAAAATCAAACACTGCAAAGCTACGTCGTGATCATCAATGACAGTACAAAAGAGTAAATATCGGTGTTACAAGCCATGAAGCAGTTGGCTTCAAGACATTATCTGACAGTTGACCAACGTGCCACGAAGAGTAGAACTACAAAAATTGTGCAAAAAGAACGATTGCACTCGAATCGATGTTCACGGCACATCTTCAATTCTGGACTTCCCCGTCCATTTTGCCAGTACTGCTGAGGACCGCTCGAAGGACAGTCTGCAGTCGCGCCTGCACTTGCATGGTATAGTGAATAGTGTGCACTGTCAGCGTGGTACCCACCCACCTAGCAGTAGGCTGTAGGCATTCGCAAGGGTAGTTTAGAAGCAGCATTCTGAGATCACCTAGAGTATTTGTTGCTGCTTCATTTTGGCGACCGGTCACTCCAACGCCGTCTGAATCTAGTAGAGCCTATAGCAGTCGCAACTATTAGACAATTCTGGCAGCAGGGTGCGCGTTCGGATGTAACATACATGTAGGATCAAACATCTCTCCATCTAATGCGCAATGCAAATTAACCAGCTCACGGAAGAGTTGCGGATGCGACGGGCTGCTTTACCAGAGCAGAATCTGCCCCTTCAGCATAGTTTTGGCTTGTGGGAAAAATGGAAATCAGTTAGAGACCGTGCCCCGAAAAAGATGGAATCTTGAAAACCGCACAGCTCTGCTCGCAAACTCCTGGAATGACCATCCCCCAATTCAGAGGAACCAGCTGCGATCTGAATCCAGGGCCTCTGATAACCTACAACTGTGCTGAATGACAAAGGCGAACTGAAGCCCTGCCTGAAGCTCCTCATTCTGTCGCCTTGCCGCTGCTAAGGATGCAGCATCACCTCCCGCTTCTCATGGCAACGACAAGCGGAGAGTACATGGCGACAAATGCCAGCAGCACGAGCTCTAGAACCGTCCATCTGTAAAGCTTCAGACAACAAAGACATTAAAGACAAGCCCGTCTCTCAGGCAGACCCAGGCACTTTGCATTCAGTCAGATCAGTCAGGAGTTCAATGCAGCCACTCACTAGCAAGAAAGACCCCAGAAGCTACTGCACGTGCCACTCCCGGGTCATAGCCTCAGTAACTACCCCTGCACTGCGTCGTCGTACTCGATTATTCCGGTTTCAACACTGATCCAGAAGACACAAGGCCTGAAGCTGGTGGCGGGGATGGACTGCGGCGCTGCATGTCGATATTTTCACCTCGGCACAAGAGCCTCTTCCCTCCAACATCCCGGCATGGCATCATGAACACCTGTGATCAAGGCTGTCTCTCTCTGAGCGCGATGCGAAGAAGCTCCTGCACTCGTGCCTCCAGCAGCAATCGCTCGTGAGCACTCCGAGTCAACCAACATCGTGTCTCTGACCAATGCAGCTAAGTAGAGAGTGAGACGCGCCCGTCCGGCCTGCAGCTGTGCTACCTGCTGCTGCAAAGCCATCAGCACTGCTGCGTCTGGATGAGGCTGTGCTGTCGCCTCAGAGCAGCCGCAAGGCCTGTCTTTGCCTCTGTGTCTGTGGAACTCGTTCTGTTGATCACGGGCTGGCAACTTTGGGTACAAGCACCACGCAGTACACGTTGTGGGCATGAGCGACGGATTCTCTGACTTGTCGCTCCGTCTCTCCGTGATTTCCAAGTAGCTCATGTTGCTGAGCCTGGGGAGGAAGCAACATTCAAAATACTGAAACTACGGGCGTTTCCAGACTCCTCCTGTAAAGCCCGGTCACAGGTGGCGGCGCTGCCACCGGCACCGCAGCCACAGGCACAGCTGTTGCCACCGGGGTCGCTGGCACAGGCGGTATTGGAGGTGCGCCTGGGTGCATCCGAAGGGTTTTCAAGTAAGCAGATGCTGATGCAGACTGTGCTCACATGAGTCGAGAATGGGGTGGCCTTCATACAGCTTCTCCGGTGAATTCCTTTGCATGCCTAAAAGCGCAAGAAGAATACGAGTTTTTAACTAGGACTAAATCGGATTGAACAAGTATACGTCGCCACGCATTTACGTTGATCTATCTGTCATGCCATCCTCTTTATCTACATCAAAACCTGTAGAGGGAAAGAAGTCGTCCGGTGTAAGAACTACTCTCGGTGAACATCTAGCAGTAAGCGCCGTCTACTGTATTGGGTAAGCTTTCAGTTGTACAGTGTCCCAACTGAAACAAGTTTTGAATCCACAGGGGATCGAATCATGCCAGAATCTTGAGGTCAACTCCAAGAAGTTCTAAATCTAAAATAACTCTTCGAACTATCCAGTTCGATGCCACCAGGAACCACAATAACAACAAACAATAACAACAAGAACGGCGGTCGAGACGAACAATGTCGACACCGACTGCTCCGGTTGCAGCTGACGCCCTGCCGTGTACCCAGTCCCGTAGTCATCGAGCAGAGTAGTAGCGGAAGTAGCAGCAGCAGCAGCGCAGTGGCGGCAGCCGTAACTATTGTGATTATAGTAATACGATTATTTGCTACACTCTGTCTGCCCTTATGTTTGGTCGTATGCAGTCGTGGTCGTCGAGTAGCAGCAGTGGTAGTAGGGCATCAGACAAGCGGTGGAGTCCACTTGTTTGAAGTCGAAAAGGAAAAAGAACAGCTTTGCCTGTAATCGAACAACAGACGCCTTGTCTGGGCCTTGTTCGGGAGTGCAGCAGATTGGGGCAAGGACTCTCGGCTGCCCGCTGCAGCGCCATGTTCTCGCCTGAGTGGGCAAAGTTTTGCAAACCTCTGCAAGCTGGTTGTACAGGTCATGCTTGGCGATGCCTCACCAACTTTCAGTTTGCGCACAGTGAAAGTGTGGAAACGACATATCAAGATGAAGAGACAACTTGGCGTGTGTGTGTGTCAAGTTTGCAAACTGAACATCGCACCATTCGCACTGCTGAGGAGTCGGCGCAGCAGCTCCTGGATCCGTGCCTTCAGGCACTCTCACGATTGGTGGCCGCGAGTTTCTTGACGCAACAGAACTTTTCTGCCCCCGTCACCTCCTGTGACCCACATGGTCCCTCATAGTCTCACAGTGAACGCGCCTGCAGCTGCAAGACCTGCTGCTCGGCAGAGGCGCGATTGGCACCTGGTGCCAGCATGCACTGTAAAGCTATGTCAATGTGGTACATGGAAGCATATGGAAGCGCGGATGGCTGAAGACACAAAGCTTCCAATTTTTGTAAAGCTCCAGGTTGATGTCGGGCCTGGTGATGCCACTTGTCGGCGGAGCTGCGTATTCTCCCCTGAGCTTGGGAGACTCTCAAGCAAAGGGTGCCGAGCCAGCTATCCTTACCAAGGATCTGAAAAACCTGCTAAGCCCACATAAGTCGAAGCACGGATGAAGCTTATGCCCTGGAGGTGTCCAACTGCTCGTCGGGACCGAAACCTGAATGTGACGTCAGCTGAATGCTTCTGCTCTATGTGGTCTAGCCCTGACCTTCGTTGTTGATCCCCGCCCTTGACCCAACTGAGCCCACGGGTTCGAAATTCGAGGCGCGGGCGCAAAAGCTCCTCGACTTGAGCCACCAGCTCCGCCTGGTGTCATGCAGGTTTTGGCCTGAGACCTGGGACCTGGAGATGCCTACAAAAACAGTATTTGCGTAGTATTTGCTTCTGTTCAGCAAGGGTGTAGAAGGCACAACCCGAAACCAGCTTTTGCTATGTTGAAGTGGCTGCTCCCCGGTCATTCCATCCAGGCACATAAAGTGTCCTGCCTTGTCCCGTCCTCTCTTTGACAAATTGCAGTGCAAGTTCTACCCCTCTTGGGCGGGGCAAACTACCTCTTGATGTGGCCCCTGCCCTCTGGACCTCTCGAGGCTGGCCGGTTGGCGGAAGCTGGACGCGAGCCTCTCGTGCTTGCACACGCGTTGTCTACTTCGGCTTCAGGTGCTTCGCACGGCTTCTGAACAGGCACTCGCTACGAAAGCCAAACCGACCGGGTCACACCCACGCCTTCAAGGCCTCGTCCAGTCGCTGCTGCAGGTCTGCCTGGCTGCTGCAGCAAGTACGACAACTTCCTGCCGAAGCAAGCATGCTCAATCGTGACTGGGGCGGCGATGGTTGCGCGGGCCGTCGCCAGTGCCACTGCGCTGGAGGTGTCTGAGGTGTTGGGCTCCACGCGCCTGGGGATGGCTTCCAGATGGATGAGAGCGGCAATACCAGCAATCGAACATCTACTCCACCACAGTATGTTCAACTGTACTTCTGCCGACTGAAGCCCAAGATGGTGAAGCACCGTAGTAAGGCACCAAGACCGTTCTGAGGCGCAGGCATGTGCCTTTCCACCTCCAGTGCCTGGTGCCGCTGAAGTAATGACGCCGAGGAAACATAGAGAAAACCAAACATACTTCATGGGTTCGAAGGTTGACTCCTGAACGGATACAGTGCAAAACATCGAAAGTCCGATCAACAATTGGCTCTGAGACTCTGTACTCTATACCGCAGGTTGCGTTGTAGATGGTCAAAATTTCTGGTGCCTGTCTCTCATGCGCTGAGTATGGGCCTGGGAGAGCACGCTTATGCGCTGGCGCTCTGCAGCCAAACTCTGGTAAGCCTCTCTGCCATGAGAAGTGCTTGCCAGGTTTCCCAGTACCGGAATTCAGAGATGACTCTAATTTGTAAAAGCATTGCAGCAAGATGCCGAAGTTCTCGCTCGGGGGCAGTTTCGGGTTTGTTGGGAGTCGTATGGCCTAGGCTCAGGCCAACAGGGATTCATCAGAGCCTGTGCCACATGCTGTGCCCATTTAAGCCCCAGGGCTACCACCGGCTACTACTGGATTTCTCAAGAAGCTGCAGAAACATTAGTCAGAAAGCTGAAGCCCGACTAGACTTCATGCAAGCGTTGCCAGAGCTCACAAGGCTGAGTCCCTGATGGCCCTGTGAATCCTCATGATTCCCAATGTCTAGCAGAGCTGCATTGACACATGTAAGACCTGCAGAATCTAGGAACATGACCCTGGCCCTCAACAGGACATCAGCCGCCTGATTCAGCTGCTGCTGCAGCCGTCGAAGCTCCTCCTCTTCGCCCTGCGACAGCAAGCCAAATCCAAAAGCAAGCCCATCGTGTGACATATCTCTTCAAGGTATGCTTGGTGCCTAAGCAGCTACCTGCAACTTGACCTTCGGCCAGGCCATCGGCATTCTGCCAAGCCTAGACAATACCAGTGACCTTGACATCGTCAGGTTTCAGCTCCCCTCTGTTTCTGCTATTCATAGCCAGTGACATCACATTATGGGAAAGGTGGCCAGGAATGTCTACAGCTCAAGGTCAGTGCTTCCGCACCTGGCTTCGGTAGACCGCACGGTGTCGCAGGCGTTCAGCCTGTGCATCGGGGCATGGCTACTCATCGATACTTTCCATTGCGAGAGGCCAGAACATGCCAGAACCATATAGAGGAGTCGTATGTATGCCCCATGAACACAGGAGGTCCTTCGTACACATCAGGACACAAGCACGTGAGTTCATGGGCTGTCTTTTTCGTCGCTTCTGTTCTTGCGCCGCACATCTCTAAGCTGCTGTTGGACAAGGGAGCTGCAGGCAACGCAGTCTGGAGCACCCCAGACCACAACCTTCAATCATGAATCATGACTTGTGTCCACGGGCATGCGGGGTTGACTGCAAACTTCAAAGTGGTGTTACCAACACATGCGGTTTGCCAATGCATGCCAATGCAGTCTTGAGGCCCGTCCGTCTGCACGAAGCGCAGCGAAAGCAGCGCAGGAGCCTTGAATGTCCTGCACATCCTGCAGCTGATCTTGGACTGCGCAGCTAGCACCTCCATGATCTGCACTTCCCCAGGTCACGACCGAACCATCCTCGCGGATTGCCGCGAAGGCGGCATTCGTTGCTCGGATATCGCGCACCTGCTGCAGATGCTCTTGTACCTCCCTGCTGTCGCCACCACACCGCTTGCTTCCCCAAGTAACGACTCGGCCCTGCTTCAGTGCTGCAAAAGCACCACCGGAAGCACACAACCCCTGCACATCCCGCAACTCCTCCTGCACCCTGCTCGAGTCCGCCCCGTAATCCGGATTTCCCCATGTCACCACACTTCCATCTTTCAAGAGTGCTGCGAAAGCTCCGTCAGAATTCTGAATGGACTGCACATGCACAAGTTTGTGCTGCACAGAGCTGCTGTCACCACCAAACCGTGGGTTTCCCCAGCTTACGACAGAGCCATCGCCAAGAATAGCAGCGAAGGCATCATCACAGGCTTGGATCTGGCGAACGTCCAGCAACCCAGTCTGGACCTCGCTGCTGTCGCCGCCGGAGTCTGCATCTCCCCAGGTCACCACACCTCCATCTTCGAGAATGGCGGCGAAGGCAGAACTTGAGGCCTGGAGTTCCTGGACCCCATGGAGTTGCTCCTGCACGGAGCTGCTGTCCCCTCCGTACTCTGGGTCGCCCCATGCATAGACTTCTCCGTTCCACATCAGAGCCGCGAAGGCTGCTTTCGAGGCTGAGACCTTCTGAACGTTGCTCAGACCACCAGAGCTGCAGTGAGTGCCAAAGTGGTTCTCCCAAGTCACCAGCGTACCGTTGCTCAAGATGGCAACAAAAGCCTCGTCGGCAGCGCAGATCTCCCGCACATCTTTGAGAACATCTTGAACCGCACTGCTGTCACCACCTGCCAATGCAAGGCCCCAAGTAACCACGGATCCATCGCTACGAAGCAACGAGAAGGCCTCTGAGTTGCGGCTGGTGACAATCCTTGCAGCTACACACTGTTGGCTCCCGGACAACGGCTTCAGGGACACTGCTAGACTTTATCAACATTTGGCAGTGATTACAAACGGAATCCACATCCACAACAGTTGCCTTACGAATCCAGTCTTCTTGACACGGCGGTGAGGCTTTAGATAGTCTGTCGTGCTGCTCGTCAGCACTCTGCGACTAAAACTTCCTAATAATAGACATGAAGCGCCTCCAGGCAATTAAACCAGTCAGACAAATTACAAGCCCAGAGAGACCTGCTTCTCACGTCTGTGTAAGTCAGCACTAGATTCTCTTCGTGTTTGCAAGGCCGTGTCTTGTGCCGAGAGGCCGAGCATCTCGAGCCACGGCACTCAAGGTGTCGCCGTGCGTGAGGCCAGCCTCGGCCAGTGTGGCCCGACCATCCAGGAGCTGCCCCGCTGCTGTGACCAAAGCAACGACCCCAACCTTTCGAACATCGAAAGGGAGAGTAGCCGGGGAATGCCAATTTGATCAACACCGACTGCACCCCGCCTGGAGCTCTTCGGAAGTTTGCTTCCGGAGAGCTTCCACCTGGATGGCCGCGTCTGCCAGCAGAGTCGTCGATTGCCCGCTCAGCAGCGTGATGTGCAGCTGGATCATCAAATGGAACGCGACACCCTGTATGCGACACCCTGCATGCGGCTCTTGTGATTGAGTACGTAGTGTATGCCTGGCATGCATCACGCTAGATCTTTAAGACAGTCTCTCTACAAACTCTATAGACTCCACCCAAGTGCTTATCGGAATCATGCTACATGCACCGGCCGCGTAATGCCATCTGCTGGTCCCTTATCATGAACTTGTCAACGGCTCGTGAGCCTGTTTGCAGCAGCAGTTCTGTAGCAGCACATATAGCGGCAGTCCGAGACTAGTGGAAGGGCTACACAAAGCAGATGCAATGACAACGTGCATCCACGACTGCCAGTATTGAAGAGAGGTCGAGAGAGCCTCGATCTCCGTGGTGAGAACACGGTTCTGGGCCTCGGCTCAGCTCGGGTCGTGAGCGGCATCTGAGCTCGGCGTCTCCGTGGCTCCCCGACGTTGACATTCTCCAGGCTGCCTCGGAGCATGTCAATCTCAGCCGACGCGGTCCTTAGACGGACAATGTCCGGGGCGCTGCTGCGGAAGGCAGCGGCAAAACAGGATTTCAGTGCTCATGTATTCCCGATGGACAGGCGCAACAGCTCCACAACTTCTTTCCAAGGCATCCCCACACATTCAGCAGCTTACGCACGAACGGCATGATGAAATGCTTACTTAGGGTTTGGGGGTACTGCTGGGGTGCTAGAAGAAGTTGGAGGACATGTAAATTTTGGAGGCTTTGCTTTGGCTGCAACTGGTCAAGTTGTTGAAATTAATTAACCTGCTTTCGGGCTGAGGGCCCAAGCACAGGGTCTGCATCAGAGGCCACTCGCAGCTTCAAATCGTCGTTCTCCTTCGGCGAGGATGGACTGGAGCTGAGGCTGCGGATTCAGTTGCGACTGTCCGTCAGCAGTCAAAACAGGACCGAACATCACGATTCAGAATGGACCCTGCCGCTTTCCTGCTCCAGAACCGTCGAACGGGCCTTCAGGGAGGCCACCTCCGCCTCTCGCCACATGGCCACAGACCATCATTACATGTCACTGCCATCATCTTGTCTAAGGTCTCGAAGTTGGCACTGTTCAGACTAGATCTTGTGATCCTTTTTGCAGAGGCGCCTGGAGCTGCCCACACCGAGCCTGAGAGAGGCATCCGCACAGCACTAGAAAGTCAGACGCTTGCCGCTGGCGGCGCTGGCGCCGGACTTCAGCTCGTCTCAGGGACTGACAGCGAGCTCACTGGCCTGAACTCACGACAAGAGAGCTGCAACTGGGCCCGAGTTGTCAAGACCTTGAGCTCCCATCACTAGAAGACGACAAGGGCCCCTCGACTCCTGACTGGTGCTATGCCGATGTCAAAACACAGAAATTCACTGCACGTTGCCCAATGGTATACGTTTTACGCTGCCTCCAGCTTCAAAGATGACCACGAATAGCTGGAGATCCGACATGAAGTGTAATACATATTCTGTGTCATGTTCATGCAGTGTGCTTTTTTCCGTGAGGTAGCTCAGCACAGCAGAGCGCAACCGACTTGATTAGACTTTCGGTGCCTGCTTCAGGGAGCACGGTGCTGGCGAGCGCGAGGCAGGCGGGGAGCGGCTGCCTGCTGGAAAGAGGTGCTGGTGACACAAGACGCGGGGAGACTGGACGATGGCTGAGGCTGAAACAGGTGATGTAAAACGGCTCGGTCACCAATGCCACATGACAAACAACAGACCGCTGGATAAGTACAATGTGGAACGAAGACGCAACTTGTCTCGGCAGTCAGATACTCCAAAGCCTTCTCCAGTGCGTGTGAACATGCCGGGTCATCTGGAAACACACCATCTTAGCTCCTATATCAGAACACGTCAGGTGTTTCACACATGTCCGAAAACAACAGTGCCGACTCCGAGCCGCCATGTCGAAACTACGAGTAGAGTCGGACTCTTCCCTCCCCCTTTCCGGATGGTCACCGACAGGTGACATGCGCTTGGAGCCAAAGTCTGTGCTGTGCCACTAATGATCCCGCGCTGTTCCGCCCAAGCCCAAGCCCCAAGCCTGAACGACTGGTTCCTTGGCGCCTCAGCAACAAGAGCAATGAGAACAGATCCAGAAGTTTGAGCTCGAGACATTGTGAGAGAGGAAGCACAAAAGTTGATTGATTTTTGAATGGTCCCTCTTTGTGTTGTCCGAGTCCAGGGCAGTGGAGAGCCTGGAGCCTGTGACGTCCTTGGTTGACAAGCGGCTCCGAGGTCTCAGCCTAAAGGCGTACTGTGAACACCAAGTGCATGGCAGCTCCCGCAAAGGCGAGGGAGAAGAGAGCGTCTTCTGATCCACCCTGTGCAGAACTCCGCCAATCGAATGCTGTAGAGCAGGATGCTTCGTTGTCGAGAGACGCCCGGAACTGTGCTGCTTCTACGGTTTTTGCAAAGCAGCTACAAGAACTGAAAAAGACAGCGTTTTGGGGGGGATCGATGCCTCGGCGCGGCCATCTCCAGCTGAGTACTGAGATCCCTCACCTGGCACGAAAGACTTCTGGCAACGGGTGATGCATTTTCTTCGGTGTGTCACAGAATATCACAGAACTGTTCCACATCTCAAGGTTTTGATCTTCGGCCGATAATGCAGTTACAGAGAGCCAACTGAACAGCGTCAGCAGCACAATCAGTCACTAACAACAGGCCCATGCAGCGTGCCTTCGCTTATACAGAAGTGCTATGCTGGTCAAAGAGTCTGCAATTGCCTCCTCCTGCAAAGCCTGTCGTAGATCTTGTTCTTCGCGCAACCGCTCCTTTCAGGGTCTCAAAACAGAACTATGCTACCTATGCCTCAAAGACGAACCTGGCCTTCAGCGCTGCCATGTTCGCGACGGCCTCGACGGAGGCCCCGCCCCGTGCAGTGCCACGGAGCACCGCCAGAGCGGCCTGCCGAAGAAGTGGCTGCCGGGCGGACTTTCAGCCAGACTTGGCTTTGGCAGTAATCCACTCATACTGCAACACTGCGCAAGCCTTGTGGCCATCACCCGGTATCGGGCTAAGATGTGAGTCTGTGATTTTTCTGGACTTTCGAAACAAAGATACTTCTTGCGTACGTTCTCTCCTGCCACGCTTAGCGCGCCTGCACAACTGCCCCTGCACTGTTCATTTTGGTCCACGTGCCCTGTCCCTCAGCTGGGCAAGCAGGCCTCCGCTCCGTGCAATTTGGATGAAAGCTCCAAGCGCTCAGCCTTGCAGATGAGCCATGGGACTGCTCTGTGCCGAGTCTTTGCCGGAATTTAGTCTGCTGCTTGTTTGGAGGCTCTTCAGGAGGAGTACTGACTGTGCTTCGGTATGGAATTCGGCTTCATTGGTTGCAATGTCGCAGCCCCGCGCTGTCTACCTTTTCCGCACTGACACGAACGAGCACAGCCCGGTAGAGGGAATGGGATCTTTGCCCATGCCAAGTCTCGGACCATGGATTCCAAGAATAAGAAATTCATCCTGTTCTTCTTGTCCGGTTCACAGAGGTCAGCTCGTGACCGCAGGCAGGATGCTGTTGGCGACAGCTGTCCCAGTTTCCGTCTGTTGGCCAGGCAGCACCGGACGCGGAGCACGTAGCGTCCCGTTCCGGAACCAGTCCGCCCAGAGCAGCTCATGAAAGGCCCTTGCCTTGCTAGGGTCATCTTCGAAGCCGTTCGGCTTCAAGAAGGGATATGTGTGGCCTCGCAGGGCATGGCTCTGGGCATGGCTCATAGTCAGATTTTTCTGGACGCCATAGTTTTTTATGATAAGAAATCAGACGAGCAACATGGATCGTTGAGGCCTCAGAGCACACAAATCCCTAATCAATCCAGGTCCGGGCCTCCCTGAAAGATGCAGACCCGTGTCAAGGCCGTTGCATCGGCACACTGCAGCGCTATCGCCACAGGATCACTGGAAAGAGCCTGGGGCGTCCAGTAGCTCAGCTGCGCCATCCTCGAGCAGATCTGGCTCTTCCCCGTAACACTCCATCGAGTCACTATAGAGTTTCTACCGGGCAGACTAGTCACAACACAAGGCGGGACCAAGCGCTGGGGCTGTGGACCGACTAGCTGCCTAGCTGAGCGTCTGAACTTCTTTTCCCACAATTCGCTGCAAAGTGGTCGGCACGGGCTCCCACATGTATGCACCTGACAGCGGTTTGCACCAATACTTTCAGCCTGCTTTCAGCTACGAGGATTGGGGTGACAGAGAATTCCCCTGGCGGACGACTTTGGGCCATGGCACCCGCGCTGATTCCGGTCATCCGCCCTTTTCGATCTGGAAAGCCTGCATCTGTCAAGTTGGGCAGGTGCTCAAGCAGCGCCGCCCCACCCTGCCGGACGTCGGCCAAGAGAAGGATCGAGGTCTTGGTAAAGTTGTGGAACACTGCTGGCAACGACCGAAGCGCCAGCTGCACCAGTGTATCGTTGGTCACCAAGGCTTTCCAAGCGGATGTTTATTTTTATCCTCACCAGGTCCCGGTCGTGCCCAGCCCATGGAACCGGCACAGCGACAAGGTCCCGGCTCCCTCCAGAGGGCGAAGAACCGACGATTCGAGCACCTAATTAAGCCTTACATGTGCGGTACAGTTGGAAAACGCCCCGGCCTTGAAGCAGCAGGGTGGGAACCTGGCCTTGCAGCTCCAGGTCGTTGTTACGGGATCCGCCCGGGCTGCACGCCGCAACAGCCGCAGGCCGCAAAGACCCCAGGAAATACCTTCGACAGAAACACAGCAGGCAGAAAACCGCCTTGCGACAGGACTGTCTCTGGCTGCAGGGCCTTGATGTTGGATCCGGTGTGGCGAACTGCAGGGCAGACATCCCCCCCATGGACTGGCCGCTGAAAAAGATCCTGGACCTGATCGGTGAGCGGCAAGGATCGGATTCGCTTGGACCTTCGCCCACCCGAACACGATCCCTGTGCCACGAAATAAAAACCACAACCATGCTCAGTCAACGCAAAGCAATACTGGAGTCCTGTCTCCACACCAACCTCCCGGGACAGTGGCACGACAGATGGCACCTTCTGTCACCGCCTGCGGGGCAGGAGACTGAAACTCTCACCTTTGCTTATGGATGCTTATGGCAAAACCACAAGACTTCCACAGTCAAAGCCCTGGTTACAGGATCACCTGGAGCACTGTCCGCACATAGTCCCAGTCGTTGGCCCCACTCGCACTGATGCAGTTCATCGGAATCCTTCGCATTGCATGTCACCGACTGTTATCATTCTTCAATTCAATGTGACTTCACCGCACTCTCTTTGTGCCGCATACGCTCACGTACTAGTAGCAGGAGCTCTTCACAAATTCCTCTGAGGGCAAATGGGCATGCCAGGAGGGATGACTGGAAGGCTGGCCTGCGTCTCACTGCTGCTGCCCTCTGTGGGCACCGTTTTTCGGGATGGCAACATGCAGCTAAGTCTGCGTGGGCGCTTAGCCCGGGAGCTTGGGCCTTCGTGGCCAATCGCATTGATCGTACAGTTGAAGGTTTCCGTCGACGGCGGGGGCTGAACATGCTGCGTAAGATAGCTGTTCGGCGGCGTGATCTTTGTTTTCCGATTTCAATCGTTAGTTTTTCCATACCGTGGCTTGGGTCTGAGTGTGCGCGGCAGGTGGTACTGCGGACCTTGCGCCGTCTCATTTCTTCATGGCGTTCGAAGGGATGCTGGGTCC